AGTCTCTGTTTCCCAGCTTCTCTGAGTTGTGGTGCAGGGAGCTCACGGCTCTCCAGTTTTCAGTGTATGGGCTCCTGGCTCATCTTAGGTGCGTGCATCTCTCCTGCTCCTCATCTGCCGTGCTCCAAAGTTTCTGTTTTGTTTAACCCTGTGTCAGGGTTTTCTCACATAGAAACCGAAAATATTTGTATGGCACACTGTACAAAACAGACAAGGTTATTTGAAGTTGGCGGTGACTGGCCTAGGGGACCTGGCTTCCCAGAAGGCTGCGGGCACCCATTGCAGTGTCACTGTGGAAGCTCTGCTCTTCTTGCTTGCTCAGCAGCCTCTGGCTGAGGAGGCCGCCATCTTGAATTGGTCCTGTCACACACCTGGGAACCTGTCCCACAGAAGCCATGACTTCCCTTCCCCCCAAGTCTTGGAGTTTTGTCTACTTGTGTAGTCTAGGGGGATTGTATTAGCGTGCTGTCATCACAGGGGTTTATGATGTGATATCCTAGCTTTAGGAAAGAAATTTAGGTAAGAGATTATATGCTAGGGCCTGGAAATAGAAAGAGCTTGAGTATAATTTTTAAATGAATGTTGAGTAAATGTTGGTTATCGCCCTGCTCCCCAACACACAGAAATGTACACTGTCATCCCATCTTTCCCAGCACCCTACCAACTTGTATTCTGTAGTGGGAATTTTCACGAGAGATAAGGGAACCTAGATTTAGAAATTTTTGACTCTTGAGATCTTATCTGATGATTTTTTATTTGGTGTCATAATGAGCAACAGCCAACTATTAGCTTTGGATATTACTGCCTCCTTATCCTTCAGACCCAGGAAACATGACTCTTAACACTGCTGCAGTTATGAAAAAGAAAACATTAAGAAGTAATGCTGGGTGCTGCTGGTCAGTAAACTGATTGTCAGGGACACCATTCAGAAGGAAAACGAGCGGGAAGAACGCAGGCCTGAGTGTCTGCTGCCCGCAGGCCTCTTCTGCACGGAGCGGCTCGACTCACTTCCCACACTGGTACCTTCACACAGCGCAGCCACCTCCTTTCCTTCTCTTTCTGAGCCCTCCCTGCTGCTCTTCCCTCTCACTCGCGCCATCCCTGGGCTTCTGTGGCTCTGAGAAGTGGCCTTGAGTGCTGGGATTACAGCAGTGCACCATCACGCCCGGCTTCTGGCTCTGTTCTCTTTGATTCACTACTGTGCCCACCTTTCTTAGTGACCTCTGCCAAGGCCTTTATTAATTCTGAGAAATGTAGGGTGCTTCATAATTCTACCGAAAGTCCTGCCTTCCTCAGCCCCCTCTATTTTCCCTGCGTATTATTTAAATTGTTAGGGTAAAATACACATAACACAAATTTACCGTCTTAATCATTTTACGCGTACAGTTCAGTGGTATTGAATGCACTCACATGGTTGTGAAGCTGGTCTCTAGAATGTTTCATTTTGCAGAACTGAAAGCCCACATTCATTTCCCCCTTCTGGCCTCTGGCAGCCATCATTCTGCTTTCTGTTTTTGTCACTCATGACTCTTTAAGTGCCTCATGTAAGTGCAGTCATGTAATATTTGTCCTCCTGTGATTGGCTGCTTTTACTTCAGCATTATATCCTCAGGTCCCTCCATGTTGTAGCCTGTGTCAGAATTTCCTTCCTTTTTAAGGCGAACACCCCATTGTATGTGTATACCACAGTGTGTTTATCCATTCATCCATGGATGAGCATTTGGGTTGTTGCCACCATTTGGCTATTGTGAATAACACTGGTGTAAACAAGAGTGTGCAGGTATTTCTTTGAGACGCTTTCAGTCATTTTGGATTTATACCCACGAGTGGAATCAGCAGGATCATGTAATTCTGTTTTTAAGTGTGTGTGTGCCTGTGTAGGGGGGTCCTGGAGATTGAACCCAGAACCTTTGCACTGAGCTACATCTACAGCCTCTTTTTTATTTTTGAGACAGGCTTTTACTAAATCACTGAGTTGCCTGGCCTGAGCTCAAACTTGCACTCTTCTTGCCTCAGCCTCCCAGAATACTGGGGTTATAGGTGTGTGCCACCATGCCTGGCGATTTTTAAATTTCAAGGAACCTCTATAGTGTAGTCTATACCATTTTCCATAGTGGGATCCAGTTATTCTACATTATTGCCAGCACTTGTTTTGTCCTTTTCTTTTGATAGTAGCCATTGTAATGGATGTAAGGTGGTATCTCATTGTAATTGTGGCTTGCGTTCCCCTAATAATTAGTGCTAGTGAGCCTCTTTTCATGTGCTTTTGGGCATTTGAGAATCTTCTGTGTATAAGTCCCCTACATTTTAATTGGATTGTTTGATTGTTTCTTGTTTTGTTTTGTCTCCGCCTCCTTTGTGGAGGGAAGGCTCTTCTTTCCAATGGGTACCACAGCGTCTTCTCTCTGGCTTGTAGACACATCCTTTATTCTAAGTACTGTGTGACCCTGTCATCCCCTGTTCATCCAGACTAGACACCCACTCCGTTTTGGCACCCTGTGTCTTTCTTCTCTTGGGCACTTAGTCACCAAATCTGTCTGTGGTCTGTGCCATCTTGGTTCAGTCCATTCTCTCCCTTGTGTTTGGCCGCTGCCCTGGCTCCTGAGTGCCGAGTACCATCTCACAGGAATGTATAGTTTGGCGGTGACTCATCTCTGATGACTGGTGGGCTTGCATGTCGGCTATCCTGCGCAAAGGAGGCCTAGCATTTCAAGGAACATATTACAACCTGTATTTGTAAAATAGAAAAGAAACCCTTTTTTAATAATACATGGAATAAAGCACATTAAAATATTCTCATCTTGGGGGGCTGTACAAATGCTCTTCCTTTGTGAACAGTCATTTACAATGTAGATACCTATATGAACTAACAAACAGTTGTTAAGTACTGATCATAGGCCAGGCTTTACAAGTATTACATCATTTAAACTCATAACAACCTTATAAAGTGCATATAGGATTATCCAGAAAAAGAAGGTGAGGCAGAGAGAGGCGCTAAGTAGCATAACTAGTAAGTGGTAGATGTGGTTTTCATGCCCTGAAATTCGGCCCTAGAGTTGTCTGCCACAGCCAGAGGAAGCATGAGGCCATGTCTCTTCTCCAGAAGGGGTACGAGTGAAATGGGCCTCAGCCAGCCTGGCCTTCAGGAAGAGTTCCAGGCTGCTCATCCTCTGCCCCGACCCCCATCTCCCCAGGGGAAGGGTGTTTCCATGGGCTATTTCCCAGGTGGTGCAAGGTATCTTCTCTCCTCTGCCCTTTGCATGTGTTGTCACTCTGGACTGCCCTTTCCTCCACTGTCATATGTCCCACTTCCGTCATCTTCAAAGTGTTGAGCTCTGTCTTGAAGGAAGCCTGATCTTTCCCCCAGATGGGACTCCCTCATCAGTTCTTCTGCAGTGATTGAAACTTCTGCCTTTTGCATCTAGGCTTGTTCCTCTTTCTTCTCAACTAGATCATTGGCACCCTCGGACAAAATTTGCCTGTTGAGACCCACAGACCTTCGTATTCCTCAGTACCAGGCATAGAGGGTATTGTCGGAATGATAAGCTAAATATTTTCCAGGTGGAGGCTGCTTTCTCTTTTAGAAGTGCCTGTCTCTTAAGTTGCCAAGAGGCGTCACTGTGTCTTTCTCTCCACCTCATCTTTGCTGGATCCAAGGTTAGTTCCCAAGGCAGACACGTTTGTGCCCCCAGGCCTTGGCTGAGCTGTTCCCGGTGTGCAGCGTTCTCAGTCATTGCCAGGTAGCAGGTGGGCAAGTGCCCTGAGATGTCCAGTGCTGTCAGGCCTGGCCTTCCCTTGTTGGTGTACTCTGGCTGACTCCCTGTCCCCACTCCCAGCACATTCCTTGGTTGGTCAAGATTGCCTCCTAAGGGTGATGCACAGCTTGCAGACATATGGGTTTACTGTCCCCAGCATGTGAGGCCTCATTCGCTGTTGGGAAGTGTTTGGCCCAGCCCTGGGCATGTTGGCCGTCTGGGCACCAGCACGGGCTGGTGGAGCTCTTGAGTTAGGAGAGAGCTGTGACTAGGATGGGTGAAGCCCTCCAGCCATGTAGGACGGACAAAGCTCATGTAAGCAAAGTGAAAGTTGTGAAATGCAAGGGACATAGGTTGTTTTGAGGGGGGGTGTGGAACTAAGGCTTGACCTCAAGGCCTTTACAGTGAGCTACACCCCAAGTTTGAGACAGGGTTTTGCTAAATGAATATGTTGCCCAGGCTGGGCTTGAATTTGTGATCCTCCCGGTCTCATCCTCCCAGAGTACTGGGATTATAGGCATGTACATGATGCTTCATAGACATAGTTCTCTTCTGAGGGCATCTGCACTCCTTTAAGGAAAAACTTGAAATCGTGTGCTGTTTTTCTTCTCTGTATTTCAAATTCTCTTGATACACATAATTTTCCCAGGCTTGTCGAAGTGTAACTCACCGGTTTTTATTATCTCTGCCTTGAGAATTGCAAACAAGTGTCCAATTTGTTTGTAATGTGGGGTGCAGAGGAGGAAGCTGGCGGGTAGCCGTGTTGCCATTAATCAGGAAAGGCATTTAGCAAACAGTGTAAGTAACAGTGTCGTTCTTGTGACCGGGGAGAACTTATTTCTTTTTTTGTTCCAAAACGGGACACAGGAAAATAGCAGGGCGGTGCCCAGTACTGTTGTGTGTGTGCAGATCCACCACGTTTTTAAAGCATGGGCGGATAAACCCTAGAAGGAACCAAAGACATCTGACTCTGAATTTTTGGTGTTTCCGCTTCCTGTCTTTCAGTAGTGTTTCCCCAGGAGCCTCTGCTGTGCTTGAATGGGTTGGGGGGTTTGGGTTACGATAGTCCTTCTTAGAACTCCTTAGACCCCCAGCACTGAGGCCCTGCTTTCAAATAGATGCCTTCAGGAGAGGGGGTGTGTAGAGGCATCTAACGTAGCACCCTGGCCTCCCCCCGTGTGTGAGTAGAGGAGTGGAGGCTGGAGAAACAGCCACACATATGAAGCCCCCACGTGCCCCCTGCAGGTGCCGGCAGAGGTGGAGAAGTGTCAGGACCGCGTGGAGTGCTTCAACGCCGACCTGAAGGCCGACATGGAGAGGTGGCAGAACAATAAGCGGCAGGATTTCCGGCAGCTGCTCATGGGCTTGGCTGACAAGAACATCCAGTATTATGAGAAGGTAAGGAGCGGGCCTGACGGGACTCTGATGGCTAAGAGCCAGCGCCTTTCGCGAGAGCCTGCCAGAAATCCAGAGCCAGGGACACCGCACACCGCATCTCCTTCCTTATTTCACCCGTTTGGTCTCAGGGCGCAGGAAGCGTAGTTCGGTGGTAGAGAGCTTGCATGGCATGCGCAAGGCCCTGGGTTCAGCCTCCCACAGGTTTTTTAATGTGTGTAGTACTTGAGATCAAGCCCTGGGTGCCCTGTCACTGAGCTACATCTCCAGCCCTTTTCCTTTTTTATTTTGAGACAGGGTCTTGTTGAGTTGCCCAGGCTGGCCTCAGACTTGCTGTTCTCATACATAGGACCCAAATATATGGGATTACAGGCATGTACCATTGTGCCCAGCTGTTAGTTTTTTAAAAAAGATACTTCAAAATACTGTTTTTAAATAACCTAAAATGAAGGTGTATAAGGTTACAAAGGAAAACAGTTTTATTGAAAGTTTTATTTATGAATCCTCTTAATCTATCAGGTTAAGCAGCATACACACACACACACACACACACACACATACACACGCACGCACACGCACGCCTTCCATCAAGCTGTAGCCTCAGTCTCCTTTAATCAAGGTTTGCTCTTGGTATAGTCAGTTCTAGGTCATCTCTGCTGATGAATCTTGATATTCCTTAAAAGCCTAAAGTTCTAGAGAGCAGGCTAATCACAGTTCAACAAGTAAAGTTGTACCCTTGAATTCAAACTGTGAGAAAGACAAAGCCCCCGAATGTGTGGGCAGGTAGTAACCTAGCTCCTCACAACAGAATCCTGGAAACAGGTTGTACCCCAAGCTGGAGAATCCATGTCTTTTTCAAGGGTGCGCTGGTTCTGGTTGCTGCTCAGTGGCCACGTGTCTGTATCTTTTCCAGTTCACGAGGAGAACAGTTAAGGAAACGGCCCCGATGGCCCTTATTTTTTGGGTGTCTGGGGGAGCTGCTTGCTGCTCCTTTCCCTGCTTGCATTTCTACGGAACCCTTGCAGTGATCTGGGGCTGACGCTGGACTGGGCGCTTTGCATGTGTCATCTCATTAGAGTACAATTCACATTGCAATGTTGAGGGCTTAGTATTCTCAGTGTGAAGCCAAAGAAACTATTGCTCAGCAAGGATTAAAAACTCTGCCAAGGTGACACAGCCCATGAGTGAATGAGTTAGGATTGTAGAGCTAATGGGTCCATAAGTCTGGGTGGTTTCCACACACTTTCACCCTAGGAAATGTCATGTGGAGTACCCTGGCTGCCCAAAGGTGGGGAAATCACCCATTTGAATTGAGGCCTTTTTCTCTACTGACTGTGCTGTCAGGCAAGGTGCCTGTCAGTGCCCCTGTTTCTTTCTCTGTATGATGGGAGTGATCCTTTTCCACTGCATGACTGTAAAGATAAATGAAAGAACGCATGTGTGTACCTAGAACATACCTAGCACATGGCAGGTCCTCCATAACTGTTACTTCCTTCCTTGACCCTCTCACCTTTCCTTCATTGTTCATCAGCCTTCCCATTACTCTGAAACCAACCAGGGGAGGGGAGATACCTCAGCAGCAGCAGCACCTGCCTGGCAAGTGCAAGGTCCTGAGTTCAATTACCAGTACCCCTCCCCCAAAAATTTAGAAAACAAAACAAAACAAAAAACAACCAGATCCAGTGTCTGCATCCCCGCTCCTGGGGATGAATCCCAGCATCCCTAAAGTCCGGCCCCAGGATTCAAAGCCAGGTCTTACGTATGTGTTTTCCTGTTATTCCACAGACAAGGTTACTATCTTGGGCCAGGGCTAGGGCCTTGGCTCCTACATGATATTTGACAAGTGTTTTTTGTTACTTGCTGTGTGCAAGGAACTAGGTAGACAGAATTGATAACACAAATCCCAGGACCCCTGCCCTTAAGACACCTTTCAGTCCAGGGAAGGTTAGGTATTCATGAAAGAATTCCAGAGCTAGGAGAGAAGCAAAAGAAAAGGATATGTGGAGACAATACCAGGGGCTATGATTCAGACCAGGGCAAGAAATAACGATGGAAATAACGTTTATTCTGAGCCATAGAGAAAAAGACTTGCAGACTGTGCTTTCCAATCAAGAGGAAAACTATATTAAAGGTCCCCAAGATAGGAAAGAGCTTGGGACATTTTGGGACCAAAAAGAAAGCTGATATGCCTCAGTTCCTTGTGCCGGTAGAGAAAGATCCTTCCAGATCCGAGGTGATGGCCTAGGGAGAGAGTAGGACCACACTCTGGGTCCCTTGCTGGAAGCAAGCTGCTTGAGGCTCCCAGCCCTCTTTGTATGGGACAAGCTTCTGAACCTGGTTTCTTCTCTAACCTGAGTCATCAAGAAAGGAAATAGGGAGAGCCAGACATGGTGGCGCACGCCTGTAGTCCCAGCACTCAGGAGGCTGAAGCAGGAGGATCGTTGTAAGTTTGAGGCCAGCCTGGGCTGCCAAGTGAGTTCAAGACCAGCCTGAGCTGCATAGTGAGACCCTGTCTCAAAAAGACAAAAAAAGAAAGGAGACAGAGGAGCAACTTTGCTACCCTTCCTTTCAGTGTGACCCTAGGATGCCGTTCCCTCCCCTTCCTCAGAACACATCCCTGGGTGACTCAGCACCCAGCGCTCTTCACCTCTGACTGCTCCTCAGATAGGCCCAGTGCCAGCGGACCTCTCCTTCCCTTTATGCAAGAGGCTGCTCTGGGGGAGGATCCTTTCTACTGAGTAGGCTACTCAGAGAGGACAGTGCCAGAGTTGGGCAGGTTCTTGGCCTGTCGCAAGGGTCTAGAATAAAAAGGGATTGATGTTATGGACAGAGGATCAATTTGCACTGTGCTGTAGGCACTGTGGGTTTTGAGCGAGTTTTTTTTTTTTTTTGTCTTTTTGAGACAAGGTCTCACTATGCAGTTCAGGCTGGCCTTGAGCTCACCTTGTAGCCCAGGGTGGTCTCCAACTCATAACGATCTTCCTGCCTCAGCCTCCCGAGTGCTGGGATTATAGGCATGTGCCATCACACCTGGCCTGAGCAAGTTATTTAACCCGAGTTTCATTTTCTTCATCTGCAAAAACATGTGTAATAAATAATAATACTTCCTCCTCACAGAGTATGTGATAATGAATGTAAATACCTAACAGTATTTAGGCATAATGGAACTCAATTGTTTGCGTCCCCTTCCCCTGTTCTCCCTTTTGGGAGATCCAGGCATGACCCAAACAAGCCCATCTGAGGTGGGTGAGGAAGAGCAGGTTTTCCACCCCCTCTTACTCAGGTGACCAGCCCGTGCCAGGTGCCAGTCATGGTTACAGTCTTCTGCAGGCCCTACCCACACCCGGAGCAGGGCCTCATCAAGGGCTTCCGGTCTGATCTCTGTTTTGCTTTTTCAAGGGAAAGATTATTCTTCCAATGAGTCCATTTCTCCTCACTGGGGATGAGCTGATTCATTGCTGTGAGTGCCTGTAAGCCTCACAGCGACACTGCTGTTTTTCATAACGATGGGAGTAACACCTTCCAAACAAACACCTGTTACCTCCCCTGTTGATGATAGCTGTGGATAATACATGTAGGTGTCATTAGACAGAGGTCACCTAGCAGGACTGACAATTCAAGGGTAGCCCCGAGCTGTTGGTCGAAACCAACCCTGAAATGTGAAACTCAACGCTAATTCTGAGTGCATGTTGTCGTTTCAGTGCCTCATGGCGTGGGAGTCGATCATTCCACTGCTGCAGGAGAAACAAGAGGGCAAGTAGCCTCCTTCTTGGGACAGAGGCTCTTCTACCTGCGCAGGGCATGGCTCTCTGTACCGGGATGCCCCTGCGGTGCCGGGGGGTTGTTGCTGTGAACAGAAGCACGTCTCCTTCGTGTACTTTCTCCCTCTCCCCTGCACCCCACAGCAGTTGTTTTCAATTAGTATTTATTCCTTGGTGGAGTCTGTGAGGCTGTAATCATCTCTCAGAATAAGAAGCATGCCTCCGTGCTGTGAAGGAACCTACTACGCGGAACACTACGAAGGCTTCAAACTGAGGAACACGACAACCCATAGCTGGCCTGCGACATCCCGTGGGCGTTCCTTCTTTGGAAGTTGCCTGTTGTGGGAGAGAATCCGGGTCCTGCTTTTCAAGGACAAGAAGGAGTCATGAAGAGATGCGCTGTGGCTTGTGGTGGTGGCAGCAGCCCTGCCCTTGACCCCTGTAGGCATTGGCTTGGCCCAGCCTCGAAGGAGGTGTCGGGACCTCCGAGAAAGTCCTTAATTTACAGTGGCCTGTAGCTGTGAGTGTGGCCTGCTGCTTGTTTGTGATGAGTGACATGTATTTTTGTTTCTGGTTCATGTGGAGCCATTGAAATCAGTGTCTGGATGCATCCGTGCTGGAGTGGGCAAGCCAGCGTCCTCGTCCCTGTGTGATGCCTTGGGAAGCCGAGGGGTGTCTGTGCTCCTTGATCATGTTTGTGACGCCAGAGTGCAACAGATTAGCAACTTTCTGTGGAAAATGAAAAAAGGTGCATTTTTTCCTCTGTAAAGGTCATTGGTGTTTTTCTTTTGTTTGTTAATTGTCAATACAGTCAAGGTTAGATGCGTTAGGAAATACTTTTTATTTTGCAGAGTAGCTCCCCTATTGTTGAGATCAATGGGCATCTACCAAGCCCCACTTTCAATGTCTGCTTTGTGCAGTTTGCCTTTGCCTCACCAAAAATACCCAGTTGAGTACTTCCTACCATGTCTGTAGATGTTTGGGCAGCCTTTTGGTGAGAGGACTTACACGTTGCATTGTTACGTACGACACAGTCAAAATTTGTAAACGCAGTGTGAATGTTCTCCATAAAGTGCTTTAACCCTCCACATTTCCTGATCGGGAAGAATAGTCAGGACTGCAGGGGCCTCCAGGTAACAAGGGTAACAGTGAACTGTTTGCTTCTAGCTAAGGAAAAATCTCAATTTGTAGCCAAATTCCTGGGCCAGGTGTATTTAAAATCTTCATTTCAAACTATTAGTATGTTTACTTTTTAAATCACCGTAAAATTAATAATCATAAAGAATGCTATCCTCCCTTTTTTTCCTTCCTAGAAAGAAATGGCATATGTCATATTTGTGTTCTTTCTTCAGTGACTCTTCCCAATGGAACTGTAACTCTAGCATCAAGTAAAGCAGTAGTTACTTTTGATCTGGCTTGGTTAGGTTTGGTTTTGAGTCAGGGTCTCACCAAGGAGTCCAGGCTGGCCTTGAACTCATCATACAGCCCAGGCTACTCTCAAACTCATAGTGATCCTCCTGCCTCAGCCTCCCAAGTGCTGGGATTACAGACCTGTGCCACCATACCTGGCTTATATTTGTTTTTAAAGTGAAGCAGTTAAAACTCTACCGCATGTGCAAGTTAAGTTACAGACACCAGTCACCCTGTAGCTTGTTGAAGTCACTTCGTTGTACTCTTAACAGCAGAGTTAACCTTGTGTCAGCCGCAACTGGGACACTGTTGGGGCCACCGTGGGACAACATAGAACAGTTTGGTTCTGTTTTATTATGCTAAACAGAGTCATAGAAATGATAATTTTTATATCACTTGGTACTTGCTGTTACTGTTAAACCCCATCTGTGCCATTCCAAAACCCTTTGATGTGAATTTTCAGCTTGGTACAAATAGAAATGATTCACTGAAGCAGAAGGGTAAGAACACTCATCTACCCCATCTCCAGTGACTCAGCATTTCATTCTACCTCTAAACCATTGTGCTGGTGCAGGGAGGCGTGTCCGGGTCCTACCTGACCGTGTGCCGGTAGAATTAGGGTGTGCATCTAGTAGCTGGAAGCCCGCTGTTGATATTTGGCAGAAGACACAAGATAGGCCTAGCGGTGCATGTTATCTTTGGAACGTGGAAGCTTTTAACCATATGGATTGTGTGCTTTAAAAATGTTGTCTCCCCACAAAAAAAAAAAAAATGTTGTCCAGGATAATGAATGCGTGGAAAGAACTGAGGAAGGAGTTACAGGGCAGCTGCAATCTGGTGACCTGCTGGTTGCTAAAGCCCAGCCTTTCCCAGGCCACCGGGAAGCAGTCCTTTCCAAACGGCAGTGTGCACCGCCATCAGGGGCTGCAGTGGTTCTCTCTCATGGGGTGCAGAGCACTGGCTCTGAGGGGACTCAGGCAGCTCCAGATTTTTTTACTTGATCTGCTTGTTTGGTCCCCATGTGATCTTCCTGTGCTTTGAGACACCAGGAAGAGCTGAAGCAATGCAGACTTCCTGTCCTCCAGGCAAAGCCAAGAAGACTCATGTATGTTAATGATTTCTGTGGAGAAATGACCTTCCCCAAAAAGAGACTCATCCCTGTCCCCAGGCTGGCGTCTGATGGGGTGAAAAGGCTGGCCTAGAAGGATGGGGACAGTACGCAGTGAAGGAGGGTCTCTAGCCCTCCCCACTCACTTGGCTGCCTCGTGCCACAGAGCTCCGCTAGCCTCTTTAACCTTGATCGGGCACAAAGGAGATTCTCCATGTGACATGTAACTTGGAAACCTCGGTGCCAGAGATGGCCGTGGAGAGGTTTTACCGCCCTGTCCCAGAGTTTTCAAGTCACAGACCTCAGCTCCCTGGTTCCTCTCTCATGTCTTTTCCATGAGATGTTTTGCTCAAAGGCATACTTTACCTCAAGCAGAGTGTCACAGACAGTTTTTGAGGCTTGCGGACTTGGAGTGGAAAGTCTTCCCTTGCAACTGACTGGATTCTGAGGAGGGGAAAGGTGTCCTTCACCTGGGTTAAAAATTCAGGAGAGAGCAGGAGAGAAATTTCTAGAAACTGAGCAAATTTTAAAGAGGTAAATGATGTTAAAGAGGGAGCAGCTGTGATTTGCAGCACGTGTGTTGCAGCACTTCCTCCTCAGGGCAGAAGGTCCGCAAGAAGAGTCCAGTGAGCCTGCTCAAGGCAGGGGACCACTGCTCCAACCTGAGGGAGCACATTTCTCAGCCTGGCTTGTGGTTGGGTTTCATCCTTTGATAAAGCTTAATAATGATTGCTGAAGAACTGAAGGTAATTGGAAAGATCATACTGCTCTGGAACTCACCAGACACCTTTCTGTAGCTCGGTTAGTAAAAGTCAGCATGACCCTCAGGTTCTTGGTGAATGTAAGATAAGTGTTTCATGCCAAATTCCAGCCCCACAGAGGGAGTTCTAGATTCTGTTGAACAGATTTTCTCAGTGACCCTTCCACAGGAGGAAACTATATACCGCCTTGCTTCTTACAGCTTGTATGGCTGCCTGGGGTGAGGGACCAACCGGAAGTCTGTTTCAGAGGTGGGCATGGTGGCCATGTAGCAGTTGTAAGTGAAGCTTCTCTCTTAGGACGGTAGCCTGAGGAACACCCACTTTGTGCGACTTGATCCTGCCGTCAGTAGCATTTCATTTCAGCCACAGGCACTGTCTGTGTTGTGATGAGGTTCACTGGCGTGCAGGAGAGTCATCCCCTACCCTTTATTCTGAGTTGGTGAGGGAAGAGGAACGTAAGATCCTGCAGGAACAACTTCCAAGGCCATGTTGGGTCTTAGCATGGTTAGAACTGGGCTGCGCTCTGGCTAGATGGGGTTCCTGTCCATGGTCAGGCAAGGGTGTACCCATCTGGACACCTGCCTGAAAGGCCTGTGGAAACAGAGGAAGCAAATGCTATGGCTGGGGTGGCACTGTTTCGGCCATCATCATTTACAAGGTTATGTTGGCAATTTGGGTTTGCCCGCCTCACTTTAAAAAGTCCTCAGGATGGCAGAGATTGGATATACCCTTTCACTGCTTGTGTTTTGCTGCTTACGCTCACATGGCAGGTGGCACTTCTCAGTACATTTGAGGTAAACATCCTCTCCTAGGCCAAACTTACTGGTGGAGCTGGGTGTGTTAAAGTTGTTCTCTTGCCCCCTCCCCCACCCCAGTAGTACTGGGGTTTGGTTTTTTTTTTGTACTGGTAATTGAACTCATGACCTTGCGCTTGCCAGGCAGGCGCTGCGCCACTGAGGTATATATCCGGCCCTTGATTTTTTTGTTTTTGAAACAGGGTCTCACTATGTAGTTCGGGCTTTGAACTTAGTATGTAGTCCAGGCTGGCCTCGAACTCATGGCAGTCTTCCTGCCTCAGTCTTCTGCATGTTGAGATTATAGGTGTGCTGGCTTAGTACTGGGGATTGAACCCAGGGCCTGTGCATGTTAGTAAGGCCCTCAACCACTGAGCTGCATCCCCAGCACCCTTGCCTTTTCTTTCTTTCTTTAAAAAAAATTTTTTTTTTTTTTGAGACAAAGTCTCCCTAAGTCACCCAAGCTGGTCTTAAACTTGTGATCCTTCCCCTCAGCCTCCTAGGTAGCTGGGAGTACAGGTGAGTTCCACCACATCTGATATTTGTTGTTTTCAATTCAGTGAATAATCCAGGGATTCAATTTCTTACTAACCCACTTTTTTATTTTAAGGATGTCAGTTCTCCCCAGAGTTGCTCATATCAGGGAGACTGCAGGGGCTGTCTGCATTTAAAAAGGCCAGGCTGGAGGCGGTTCCCCTTTATGTGTTTGAAATACATCCTGTCCAGCCTTTTCTATGTGGCAGAAAGATATGTTATCCAGGTAGTTTTTACTAGTCTGTAAATAAGTGCTATGAAAAAAACTTAAAAAACAATAAGATGTGTGTCTCATATAAATATTCTGTGTATTTAGCACTTGAAGATCAATTCCAGAATTAAAAAAAAATACCACAGACTGTTAAAAGCCTAACTGTACTTTTTGAGAAATTTTAAATATCTAATAATAATAATATGCCTTATTAAACTAGTGTTTTTAAAACTCTGGGTAGACAGCATTTTAGAAATGTAACTCCATTGAAATACTAGAGATCTAATATAATCAATCCTTGATCCTCTTAAAAAAACAAGACAGAAAGTGAGGGTCATGATTAGGGTAGGCTTTTGGGGGGAGAGAACTATTGCTATTGCCAAATGATATTTTTAATATAAGGAAACACAGGGAGCACAACACCTTTCATTGTTTTAAAGTGCGAAAGATTAATTTAGTGCCTTGTGGCATACCTTTGATTATAGAGCTATGATATCAGCCTTGACAAATCATAGTGATCAAAGGAACTCTGTAGGTTATGTCAGCATTAAAGGTTTACCCGCTTTCTACAGAATGGCTTTTTAAGATACTGTGGGGACCTCAGAGCACTGTGCTCTGGTTGGAAATTCTCCACAGGTTGAAATGCCAAAAATACAAAATCTATTGTAGTGACTCACATAACGGAGTCCATTTTAGTAGAGCTTTTAGTTAAAATCGGTGATGAAAAGTATTGCTTATGTGCCTGTCCCAGGAGCACTGCCCGGCCACCAGGTGAGTCTAGGCTCTCCGCAGGCCAGGTCAGAGCAGCCGGCACCTGTCCACACCCCTGCTGGGCAGACTTGTTCACAGTCAGAGAGCAGCCCTGTGGTCAGAAATGATACCGAGAAGGAGTACAGTGGAATCACTTTCCTCAGCATGGAAGTGGGAGAGGGGAAGTAGATGGCAGATCTGTGTGAATCAGCTCAGTAAAGCAATGGCCTTGTCAGCTGGGCCTTCATCAGATAACAAACCAGCATCCCTTCACAGTCAGCACTGTCCGCCTGGACACCCCTGAGGTTTCAGTCCTGTCCCATAGAGTCCCTGTTCCTTGTTTCTGTGAGCCTGCGCCCTCCACCTCTGTGAGTCAGGACTGCGTGAGGCGACCGACGTCAGATACACTCCCATGACACAAACTGCCAGCAAACTTTCTAAACTTGTATTTTAACTGTTAAGAGATTAAAACTTTTGCTTAGAACATGTTCAAATTATGGACTGTGTTTCTTATTTTTAAAAATCAATCTTTATGTTGAAAAACTGAGAAAGAAAACCTTTCTGAGGTATTGCTAAAGTCCTCCATGTAAATGTGGTACAGTTTCTCCATGCTGCCATTAAGCCAAAACAAAAGCTGTGAAAATAAAAAGTGCTTGAGAGAGTCCGTGTTCAGAAAGTGATTTCTTTACAGATTGATCTTTATTTCATGAAGCTACCAAATGCTATAAGAATGTCACCTCCTTTTCTTTGTTATGGATCCCAGAGATTATAAAATTAAGGAAAAAGGTTGTTTGTTGAATTTTTAATGCCGGCACACAGTTTTTGTCCACTTTTTTTTCCCATATGTCTATGTTTTAAAAATTCTGTTGTTTACTATGGGATTAGTATACATTTTGAGGTAAACAAAGAATTTGTACTGCTTGATAAACTATTAGCTTGTAAATTTACAAACAGTTTCTTTACCTCAATTAACTTAAAATAATGGACCAATAAACTGATAAAAGATGCTTTCTTTACCGTGAGTTGTGTTCTCATTTGTACCTGTCTGTAGAATGGGAAAACATGAGTGCCTCTTTTTGTCTTATTTTCTCTTAAAAGATAGCTTGTCTGCAAGAATCAGGAAATACAGAGCAACAGGAAAAAACCCATATATATATATATATGTAAGTATGTGTATGTATATATGGCAGATCTGTATCTGT